TGAGAAAGAAGTGGGAGAATATATTGGTACTACACTAGAAAAGATGTGGATGATATATTGAATATTATCAAGATGAGCGACTACAGGATCATAGATCAATTGTTGTAGACTCCATCAAAGATATCTATTCTAGCCTTGTTGATGAACTCTTCTGCCCATAGGAAATCTTTGATGAGAGTATTGGATCAAGATTTTATGGAAATTGATATTCCATTGGACAAATTCAGCAGTGTGGTATGAAATATTACATCCTGTAATAACCTGAGTTTCTGTGATGACGAATTGCCCGACGAATGAAGGAATAATAATTTGGCTCTCCATATCTCCATGAACTGTAAGAATGATTCATTGTCAAATGTACTGATTGATAATGGATCCGATTTAAATGTCATGCCAAGGAGCATGCTTATGAAGCTGAAGTATCAAGGAGCTCACATGCGCCCGAGTGGCAAAATTGTAAAAGCTTTCGATGGATTAAGGAAGTCTGTCATCGGGGAAATAGATTTTCCTATTCACATATGCCCACACTTATTTCAGATTACTTTCCAGGTTATGGATATTGTTCCCTCTTACAGCTGTTTACTGAGACGACCATGGATCCACGAGGCAGGGGCTGTTACTTCGACTTTGCACCAGAAATTAAAGTTTGTGCGTGAAGGAAAAGTGGTCATCATAAATGGAGAACAAGTTTTGTTAATATATCATTTATCCTCTTTCAGTGTTATGGAAGCGGATGAAGCTGCTGTTGGAACTCGGTTCCAAGCTTTATACATTGATAATATAAGGGGAAATAATAATTCTATAGCTTCGTTTAAAGATGCTCAGAAGGTTGTGTGTAATGGCCCTAGTAAAGTATGGGGGCAGATCGTTGATCCACCTGTAAATAAGAATAGAACCGGTCTGGGATTTTCTGTGAAGAATGGTAAAGGTAAGAACATGAAGCCGAAGTCTGCTTTTGGAAAATATCAGGATATCTTTCATAGAGGAGGTTATTTTCATCCAACTATTACTAGGATCAATGCTATTGTGGAGGATGAAGCGGAGCAAGAGATGCCGAACTATGTGATGTATGGAGTTAGAGTCCAGAATTGGATTACCGTTGATGTTCTCTCGTGCATTCATGTCTCAAAGTAATTCATTTTTTGTTAATATTTTCAAAAATCTTTCACTCTGCCCAAGGAGAAAGTTGATATTTTATGGGCTTATCTGTTTGCTTTGATCTTTAAAATCAATAATAAAAGTTGTCTTTGATTCCCAAATGGTGTCTTTACTTTCTGCTTTTTTCTTGGAAAATGGTAATTAGAAGAAAAAAACTTTCAAAATAAATAATAACTGTAAATTGCATAATCACTTGCTATGTGTGTCAGTTTCTAAAAGCAATCATAAATCATACGTGTAGATTAATTAAAAAACCCGTTGAATACAATGGACCTGTGCCCTCTTCCAACTTTGAATATCCCGTGTATAGGGCCGAAGAAGAAGAATATGATGAGATTCTAAAAGAGGTTTCACGGTTGCTTGAGCACGAGGAAAGTGCTATTCAGCCATATAAAGAGCCATTGGAAGTGATTAATTTGGGGTCAGAGGAAGATCTGAAGGAAGTCAAGATTGTAGCATTGTTGCATCCCAACGTAAAGCGCAAGTTGATTGAATTGTTGAAATAATATGTGGGTATATTTGCGTGGTCATACGAAGACATGTCTGGTTTGGATACGGATATTATGGAACATCATTTGCCACTAAAGTCAGAGTGCCCGCCAATCAAGCAGAAATTGCAAAGAACTCACCCTGATATGGCAATAAAAATTAAAGAAGTTTTAAAGCAGATTAATGTCGGTTTTCTTGTGACATCAGTGTACCCTCAGTGGATTACCAATATTGTCCCAGTACCAAAGAAAGAGGGAAAAGTTCGCATGTGCGTAGATTATAGAGATTTAAACAAAGCTAGTCCAAAAGATGACTTTCCATTGCCACATATTGATATGTTGTTTGATAGTATAGAAAAATTCAAAGTATTCTCGTTCATGGACGGATTTTCCGGATATAATCAAATTAGAATGGCTCCTAAGGACATGGAAAAAAACAATGTTTATCACACCCTGGGAAACATTATGTTACAGAGTGATGCCCTTCGGGTTGAAGAACGTTGGTGCAACGTATTAGAGGGCTATGACAACCCTATTCCATGATCTGATGCACAAGGAAATTGAGGTATATATTGATGATATGATTGCTAAGTCTCAGACTGAAGAAGGTCATATAGAAGATTTGTTGAAATTATTTCAGCGTTTGAGAAAGTATCGTCTCTGCTTGAATCCAAATAAGTGAACCTTCAGTGTTAGATCAGGGAAATTGTTAGGTTTCATTTTCAGCCAAAAAGGAATTGAAGTTGACCCTGATAAAGTCAAATCAATTCAAGAAATGTCAGCGCCAAGAACTGAAAAGTAAGTTAGAGGCTTCCTTGGGCGTTTGAATTACATTTCCCGATTTATCTCCTACATGAATACAACGTGTGAGCCGATCTTTAAGTTGTTAAATAAAGATCATGGTTATGTGTGGACAATTTACTGCCAAAGGGAATTTGAAAGTATTAAAGAATATCTGCTTGAACCTCCTATGTTGCTCCCTCCGGTTGAAGGAAGACCATTGATTATGTATCTGACAGTGTTAGATAATTCTATGGGCTGTATTTTGGGACAACAAGATGAAATAGGGAAGAAAGAATATGCCATTTATTATATCAGCAAGAAATTTACTGACTATGAGTCGCAGTACTCTATGCTGGAAAAGACATGTTGTGCTTTGGCCTGAGCGGCAAAGCGATTACGATAATATATGTTGAATTATACTACTTGGTTGATTTCCAAAATGGATTCAATTAAGTATATTTTTGAAAAGTCTACTCTTACTGGGAGAATTGCCCGTTGGAAGATGTTGTTGTCTGAATATGATAATGAATACCATACTCAGAAGGCTATAAAAAGCAGTGTGTTGGCAGAATATCTTGCTCACCAACCAGTGGATAATTATCAGTCGGTTAAATATGAAACTTGAAATGAATGATATACTTGATAAAAAGCAAATGAAACTTATTGTTGAGAGGCTTTGATTATATCAATGTTCTAATGAGTTTTCAAATGCAAGTTTCAAGATGGTCATTCAACTAACCTCTAATTACTAATTTATTAACATTTTATTTTAGCATTTACATTTCATGATATTTTCATCTTTGCTCACTTGAGCATTTACTTTTATGTCATTTTTATTTTGCTCACTTGAGCTTCTCATTTTTTTTTTTGAAGATACCTAATAATCAACGTGAACCATAAAAAACTTTAATGTTACTTGGACTATTTGGTTACTATCCTTGGCATTATGGAGTGATGGACTTCTTGGACTTAGGATTAGAGACTTTGACCTACCTTGAGACCTTGTGACTTTCATTGCTATTTTGTCTGGAGTTTTTGGGGTTTACCCCCAAAATATTGGGTTGTTTGTTTTCTTTGTGTGTAAGTTATTCTGATATATGTTTTGTCTGTGATTAGGAATTCATCTGTATACAACCGTTACTCTGTCTAATTTTTGTGAAGACTTAATGCACTTGAAGTTTTACTCTCAAGAGGTTATATTGTCCTTGCTCATTTGGTTTCAATCCAAAGAATGAGAATTCTACACTGACACATAATGTCAAGTGTTGACTTCTTAGTTGTTAGATGGTTCTTTTCCCTATCTCTTACCTTATGCTTTAGGATAGCCTCTTCATCCCCTCTCATCTTTTTTAATTTCAAAAATCTTCTCCCTCCTTTGAAAACTCTTCTTATTTTTAAACTTGAACCGTTTTCACAATAAACATGGACTTAGATCCACGCCCTTTTCAAAATATTTTTTTAATCAAACTTTAATCAACTTAATAATACCTTGATATTTTTTGTGAGAAGATTAAAAGTCAATCAATCTCATTCAAACCATTTTGCCACTTTGGACTTTTTACTTTAAAATTTTCTCAAAAGATTAGACCATTGTCAATCCTTGAAGTGATGCGAACTACTATATACTTCTACGATATGTAGTGAAGTGAGATATTTTCCACTTGGGTGTTGAGTGAGGCTTTGTTGACTTTAAACTCCAAGCTATATCCTCCGCTTTGAGATGACACAAATTCTCCTTTCTCATGATCTTGGGTAGTAAGTATGTTTTCCACTTGGATAAGACAATAATGTCTCGTCTATTAAAATTAACCAGCACACTTGTGTTTTAAAATTTTAAAGGTGAACTACGAGTACGCTGATCCCCTATTGCACGGAAGGTGGTACGTAGGCACTAAAGGTTCGCAACCGCGACAGATGCAAAAATTATAAAAAATACTTCTTTTGTCATCCCCATCATCTATTTTTATATACAATATTTATAGTCAAAATACATGTTTAGGGTGATAATATTTTACCTTTGCATAACCAATCCCCGAACTTAGATTCTCTCCTACTCTTTTTGGGTTATTCACTATTTTCTCATTTCTTTGAAAATAATAAAGCGCGGCGACAATTTTTATTTTGATATGTGCGAATTAAGTCAATCAAATGGATTAGTCTCATTTCTACCGTTACACAAGGCATATTCCTTCAAAAGTTTAAGTTCATACAGATTCCATAAGATGTCAAACTGCAAGATTGTACCACTATGCCGTTTCAAAACAAGGCCATTACATTCAAGGAAGTTTTGTTCATTACAAATTCAAATTGTTACACCAAAGTTACAAAAAGACATCTCATTCAATTTAAATCCAAGTGTATTTCAAGATTTATTCAAAAGCAAGTCCATCTTCCAAAATATCATAATCATTACAAGTTCAAAATAATTTCATTACACAAGGATTACAAGGTATTACATGGAAAAACTAGCGAAACTTAAATCCAATCTCCAATCTTTCTTCATAAAAATTCCATCTTCCAATCTCCATGCCAAGCTCTTGACTATCCTTATAATTACGTGATTCACCTCCCATGCAATTCAAACTCAGATCTACAATTCAATTCAAGCAAATGAATGCAACAAGTCAGTTCGAGTTCGATCGAAAACATCAAAATCAGTTCACAAAACATTCTTCTGTTTCAAATGCAACTCAGCATTTTATTCAAAGTGGAAAAAGTGTGAGAGGAGAAAATCAGTCTAACCTCATTAAGCATAAGAGGCATTCCTATTCATACGACTTCGAGACGGGATCACTGTGCAGATGCATTACATCCGAGCATTCAAAACCAAACAAAAAAAAAAACATAGATCTGAAACATTCGACTGTTATCATCTGTAAAATAGCCATGCATCAAGTTACAATTTCACGCCATTAGAACTAACCATAAGCAATATTTACCACACATAACCCTTCAAGACATTCTCATATATTCACATCATGTTCAAGCATATTCAAAGAAGATTCCAGGGCAGTCAAGCACGTTATGACGCAGATGCACGCGGATAAACAAATATAAATACAATTCTAAAACTTTGTGGCTGCTGAATTCGTAATTATGCCATTAACAGAAATCTCTATCAAATCCTCTCAGCTTTCTCTACCTCATCTTCACCATTCTTCACAATCTGAAGAATCACCAGAAAAAACCTTCATTCTCTATGCAACTTTCTACCGCACTACTCTTCATTCTCACTGAAATCTCCATAACCGTAACCTTCATCTTTATCCTCTTCAACAACTTCGCATCACGATTTTACTCTAATCATCCGCAACTTCTGCATACTTCCTCAACAACCTGCAACATCATCATTGCAAGAACTGCTTTATCAACGCATCATAATTTGTGATTCACAGTAACAACAGCGGAGGAAGAAGAGAGTGGCTGAGCGCTTCATCGTAGAAGCGAAGAGGATGGAGATGAATAAAGCGGTCGCTGAAGGAAGAAGAGAGTCTTCTCGAAGGATTTGAATAGCCATAAGCTTCTATAACCCTAATTTCACTACAGAAACATTTTTTCTCTTGTTGGACTCAGCCTTGGGCCTTAGCGCCTGAGGCCTTTTAATGAACCCATACTCCAAGTTTCACACATATACCCCCCTGAGTCTTAGTTTTGTTTTAGTTTTTTTTAGTCTTTCTATTTGATTTTTGATTTCATTTCTCTTTTGAATTTTAATAATTGAAAACAATAGAAAATAGTAGAAATACGATTGAATTTTTCTAGAATTTATTTTTTAAGAGTTTATTTAGAATTTTCTATTATCGATTGTGTTAGTAATCATTTTGTTACTCGAGACTTGTGATTCACCTTTGCTTGTTAAGATTTGAGTCGTATGCAAGTTTATTATGTGATATTTGGATATGCTTGAATTTATGATTGTGATTTATTTTCACATCGATGATGCTTCGACGCTTATCTTTTACATCCGATTTTCTGACTATTTCTCTTTGCCTTGGTGAAGCTTACTCGATGTTTTCTGGGTTTCTCTGCCTTACTTGTTGTGCTATGATCATTTGTTTGTTTTGTATTTTCTCTTGCTTATCTCATTTAAGCACTTTACTACTTTCTAGATATCATGAGAAGTAGGAAATAAAGAGCGTGCGCTTAAAGTCGTTGTTTAAAGTCCTGTAGCAGGCACCACTTTCTGTATGTTATCTGTGTTTGTTTAAAATCCTTCCTTTTAAGTAGGTATTCCTCACGTGTGTTTATATTTGTGCCTGCACTATTCCCCCATCCCTTATTGAAGTCGTCAAATAGAGGCGAGCGGAAAGGGTTCACAATCAACCCCCACATTTCGTCCATGTCATCCTTAGCTTGTGACACACCACGATTCTTCGGAGTTGTGCCTACTCTTATTATCAATTCGTCAAGTGGAAAAGGGTTTCGTAATCAAACCCCCACATTTCGTCCGTGTCATCCTTAGTTTGTGACAAACCATGATTCTTTGGAGTTGTGACTACTCTTGTTATCGATTCGTCAAGTGGAAAAAGGTTTCACAATCAAACCCCCACACTTTGTTAGGAGTTCGCATTGGCTGATGTTGATACTCCATGATTGTTCATATTGCCTTCTGTCGCCTACCTCGATCTTTTATATCTTGGTTAAGTGTTTAGTCGCTTTGGACATCACATTTTTGTTTTACATCCTATTCCCGCTTGTTTGCTTCGGGTGATCCGCTCCCCTTAACTAAAGTATTTCCCTTCTTTTATATCTCACTCCTGCTTGTTTGTCTCGGGTGATCCGCTCCCCTTTACTAAATCATTTCGCTTCTTTTCTTTACCCTTTTATGTGTGTGCTCTTTCAAACTTGTTTGCTCACCTTATTTCTATACCATGTTCCCTTAGGATGTGCTTGTTCGTTTCAGATGCAAGTTAGACCTTAGGTTGCAAACTGTGCATGCTAATATTAGGTGACGTTTCCCTTTTGTTAATCCAAACCTTAGGACTACCATTGTATGATAACATTAGGATTAGAAATAGGCTAGTCTCCCGTAAACTCTTTTCTTCCCCTTTTGCATACGCATTTAAAACTAAAACCTTGTTTTTCTTAGCAAATCATAAAACATGCTAATCATACTTAAACCCTTTTTCAAGTTAACAAAACACAAACCAATCAAACTTGGCATCTTTCCTTGAGGGTATAACTCAAAACCATTTTCAGGTAAGGACATGTTAATTTACTTTTGTGCCAACGCGTGAGTCTTCAAAGTTCGAGTTGCGGCAGAAGGCGGAATTAACATTGTTCATAAAAACACAAAATAAACAAAAAAATGTGAGCCGAAATATGGTAACTATAATTCCTCAAAAAGGATACGTAGACATTGGGGTAGGGCCCAAGCGAGCACAACTTTATTTTCCCTACATTATTTTCCCTTCTCGTTTGCATGCATTCTTCCTCAACAATAAGCAGTAAGAATAGATTAGACACACCCATAAGATAGATAACATGAGTGGATATCGTAGAGTACTACGGGCGTATGAGGTGTTAATACCTTCCCCTCGCGTAACAGACTCCCTTACCCGATCTCTCGATCGCAATACTGTGACTTCTCCCTTCTCAGGTTTTCTCGATTTTCTCCTTTCCCTTCATGTGGGATAAAATACGTTTGATGGTGACTTCGTTGTCTGATGATTTTCAGAAGGAAATGAGCATGGTCTCACAACCAAGAGAAAAAGGGTAAGGAAGTCGGTTACGCGAGGGGAAGGTATTAGCACCCCTCACGTCCGTGGTACTCCACAGGATTTACTCAAGTTTGTTCAAATCTAAGGGCGTATAAAAATCTAAGTCTACAACTTAATTCTACAAGGGAATGCGTGTAAAGTATATACAAAAAGAAGGTTTTTAATAGTTGCGCCCGCCGCAGTTGTGAACCTTTAGTGCTTATGTACCACCTTTCGTGCAATAGGGGATCAGGGCACTCGTAGTTCTTCTAGAAAATGTTTTTGGTTTGTTGTGTGTTTTTTATGAGAATGATGCGTTAGACATTTCAAATGTCAAAACATTGACTTATTGGGTTCTTGTTTGAAGAGGCTTAAGTCGTTGAGTTTGCTTTGTATTGGAATGGCTAAGACACATTTGCTTTATGAAAAGATTTTTAAAAGAAAATCCAAGAGGCAAAATAAGTTTGAATTGTCTGGTATTTTTTTTAGGTAAGATGATAAATGGATCCCACGACTAGGACACTTATCATCCCTCTAATTTGTGAAAACAAAGTTTGGGATTTGAATCACACCAGAGAATTATGAACTAAAGAAGAACAAGTACTAGTGTATACCCTCTCATTCTTATTGTTACTAAAGTCTCTCGGAGGTGTGGTTCTCATCAATTATTTATCAAGTGTTTTGAGAAGTTTGAAAGAAAAGAAGAAGTTTTAGTTTTAAGGAGTATGCAAATGGGAAATGAAAAAGTATAAGGGAGACTAACAAGATCCTAATGTTATCATACAATGGTGGACCTAAGGTTAATGTTGAAAGGGAAACTTATACTTAACTTAGCATGCATGGATAAGAACATAAGGTCTATTTAGTTCATATCTCAAAGAAGATGAAACTAACACCCTAAGGGAACGTGTTATTCAAAGAAGAAGAAAGGAAATGATAAGCAAATGAGTGCTTGAAAAAATGAAACAAATGTGCAAGTAAGCAATGATCAAATAAAGAAGAAGTAACCAAGATGATAGAAATACAAACTCAATGAGGCAGCAGCAAAGGCACAAAGCTCATTCATTATGGGTCAAAGGTTTTAGACAAAAGAATGCATCAAAACAAACTCCTAACCTTAATCACTTTAGATGAATTTAGGCACATAAAAAAACACAAGTTAGAGTGCTTAAATGGTCCAAAAAATTTGAACTTAAGACCCTAAACATGTCATGAGGATGAAGTAGAGAAATGAGGATCAAATTCCCAAAGGTTGCATGAATGCATTCCATATATCTCACAAAGCAAGCAAAAGAAGCACAAAATGAATCACATTCAAAGAGAAAGATCAAAGTGATCAATTGAAGCCAAATGTCTCTCAGGTCTTTTGAAGACTATCTTTGAGCTTATCTCCAAGAATCAATTACAACAAAAAAATTCACAAGAACATGATTTAAAGATCAATTGCATTCAAACTAGGGTTTTACAAACCACACAAGCTTTATGCTCAAGGTAAAAACTAAATGATCAACATACAATTTCCAATAAATGAAAACCCATTGACATATCATTAAAGCAATCAAATAATCATATCATACCCAAAAATTGGCTTTAAATTCTGTCCATAAGCTTTGGAATGAAGCTTGACTAAATTACACTAAGCCAAAGGGACATGTTCACAACAAAATTCCATAAAAAATATAAAAATAGGATATAAAACCCAAACAAAATTAATCAAAGGAGATCAAGTCTCTTACAAGTCAGAAATCATTCATTGCTCAACTTAAAAGTTCATGGAAGTATCAAAATTAAATCAAAAGATCAATATTGTGATACGGTGGCAGAACCGACTGTTATATATATATTGGTTTTGCGTTTATGTTCGCAAATGTGCGGTAAGCAAGAGTCGCCACTATCTTTTCTTTTATCCAAATTAAGGAAAGGGTGAAAAGAACATAAAAAGACCTTTTCGAGAGTTTTCTGAGTAAGGGGGGTAGATTATGGAAAGGGAAGGTGTTAGCATCCTTTCCATCAGGGGGTTTCCACGGGCTCTTAGAGGTTTGCTCATTTTGAAATGCCTTTGTGCTTTGTGTGTTTGAAAATGTTTTGAAAAACGCCTTAGTACGACGAACTTTGTAATGTTTCTCGGGATAGTAGAGAAAGTATACAAAGTGTTTTGAAATGGTTTTTGAAAAGTAGTTTTTGTGTGTAAGTTCAAAAAATAGAGTTTTTGAGCAAACTTCTAACAGCTATCTACTTTGTTACTCGAAAAGGCTCATTCTTTTCCTCTTTTCCTTTAGACAGTGCTATCCTACTATTAGTGAGTAGGTAGCCTTGTCGTTGGATGTTGAGGGACAATCGAATGGACGTTACAGTCACGAAGGCAATTTGTGGAAATGCTTTAGCAATTTTGTTTTAGGGACTAGATCATTTACCGAGAAGGCAACTGTGAGGTCATCGAGGGACTATGATCTTTTGATTTTACGGGTCTTTGCTAAAGCATTCCTGCCCCATGACTGTTTTATTGAAGGCAACCAAAGTGGGCGTACCTTAGAGGTGCTTGTGTGCAATTGTGTTGTGTTTAAGTTATTTTTGTCTTTTTGTTAAGTTTGCTAACATTTGATTATTAGTCTTATCATACAAGCCTAATTACTAGCAGTTTATATGAAAAGCAGTAAGAAATGCAGAAAATAGAGGTCTTACGCTATTA